GTAAGCGTAAGTTTAAGTGACCCTCCATACAAAGATGGCAGTTTCTGTAACGGTGCCTTTAAATCCTTAATCTGATCAGGAATGTGGAAGATAATTTTTTTCTTACTTAACCCTATAAAGGCTGGTGGGTCTGAATCTATGTATAGCCTAGGGGGGCGTTTGGCGCCTCCCCCCCCCCCCCAAGGAAAAGGCCTTATCGACTAGGTATAGGGTTGAAATGCATGTGCAAAGTCCAATTTTCCAAGGCCAGCTCATTGAAAAAAAATCGACCGATAACTTTAATAGTTTGGGTGCTAGGGAGGGTTGAAATAAACGCCAAAAAAGGGTCAGAAAAATGAGAAAAAATTTTTTTTTTAAAACAAATATCAAAGTGTGACACATGTTTCTATATCTATTTTTCAAGGGCTTTTCAAAAATATAGTTATTAGATATGTAGCTTTAGTCACAAAAAAAGCTATGGGCTATTTTAGATTATTCTTTCCAAAGACCGGATTTTTTCCGCCCTGTACCAAACCCTATGCACTAAGCATTAACAAAAAAATTTAAAAAACCCTTTAAAATTACAATTCATTAAAAGACACAAAATTTCACGATGATAGTGTCAAAAATAAGAGTGCCAGGACAAAAAAGCTACGGGGGGCGCCAAACGTCCTTCCCCCTCCCAGCCTGTTTGTTTTAAAAGTTTTTAATTCTGATAATTTCTCCATTGTTTTTGAAGCACGAAATTTACCTTAGAGGAGAAACCAGATATTAAACTAAACAGCTTTAAAAACGGAAAAAAATGGAAATCATTATCTTATTCATTCTTGTTCAGACACAGATTTTATTGGCACTGTTGTGAATTGGACATGACACTCTATCAATGGAGGATCACTTGACATTTCGTTTACATTCTGCTTAGTATGTTTAATTGTATAATCTCTATTTTTAGGAAAATTATGAAGGAGTACAAGTACGAATTGGGGCACATCTACTTAATAATAAACAAACCTCAGAAGGGTAATAGTAATTTCTAGCTTGGGTCGTAATATTTAATTCTTAAAAATAATTTCGATTAAAAACATATATTTTAGCCTATTTTACCCCCATGGGAACTTATGGGTTCCCTCAAAAAATGTCAGCCAATTTGGTACAGCCGTTCGGCCAGCTGTAGCTAACATATACATATTTTTATAAACCAGTTGAATAGTTGGTTCAGGTGTGGTTCGGCCAGCTGTAGCTATCATATATATATTTTTATAACCAGTTGAATAGTTGGTTCAGGATAAAAATGTTAAACAAAGTCAAATCTTATGTCATGTCTTCCAAAATTCCGTCCTTGCTGTACATGACTATCTATTTTTAGACCCAAACTGATTAGATTTTGGATTTTTGGAATCTTAAAAACAACAAAGTTTTGGTTGTGTGTTTAAAAAATGAAAGATTTAAAGTTAATCCTTTCATGCAACAATTCAGTACAACTGTGTAGTTGGTACTTTAAAAAGAGAAAAATTCAAAGAGGAGGAATTGTTTGATTACAATATATAATACTTTTAATTTTGACTTAGGAATACAACGAGCCGTTTTAAGATTTAATTTGAAGATGTTTTTACGTTTCTGTATCTTATTTTCAAATGTTGTCATAGATCTTCCAGAAAACTCGAGTTATGTTTTGAAAACAGCCAGATTTGTGTTAAAGTGTTGGATCTGTTATTTATATATATAAGACGGTGTGGTTACTGAAACCAGAACTTTTGTTTTGTAAATCTCGGAATCAATTCTTAGTCTCATCTTCTGCAGATTTTGATTTCTCTTTGACATCCCGTGGTGGTCATAACTTTAAAGGTAGTGTTTGCAAAAAATGAAAGGGGGTATAGGCTTACGGCGAAAAATAAGCGCTTTTGATCACTACTAATCTTTCTTCCATCTGTTGCGTCTATCGGGAGAAAATTGTTAAAAATGACTTATACTGAAGAACGATAGCGTTCATACAAATTCAGAAAGTTGCAACATTCAACTCGGATCGTAAAATATTCAATTTAATTCCAAAACAAATCATTCAAATATTACAAACAATAGTTATCGATTATTTTTCGAAGCATCTATAGTTAATATTTCATAAATTTTTTGATTTATTTTTTGGCGCTGGATTTTCGAACATTCCAGGAAAATATGAAAATGTCGTCTTCATTATAAACAATCCTTGAAACAGGAATAAATGCTTTCAAAAGTAACAATTAGATCATAAAAAATAAAAAAAATATCTTGAAATATCAACTATATACGAATGTGTCGAAAAATTATCGATGATTATTGGTTGTAATATCTAAATGATTTGTTTGGAATTAAATTGATTTTTTACGAGCCAAGTTGAATATTGCAACTTTCTCAATTTGTAAGGACGCTACGTTCTTCAGCATGAGTCGTTTTTAACAGTTTTCTCCTCATAGACGCAACAGATAGAAGTAATGTTAGTAGTGATCAAAAGCGCTGTAAGCCTATACCCCCTTTCATTTTTCGCAAACGCTCTCTAAAATTGAGGGATCAAAAATGTATCCTGAAAGTGCCCACATTATATATCAAGATCAAGCGTTCAAGATTAATGATATTCCACACAATAGTTCACACAATAATTGAGTTTGTTTAGGTTTTTGATTCCGATCAAGACCGTCATAGTTCATGAAGATTATAATCCACGAACAGTAGAGAATGACTTGACATTACTTAAACTTTCCAAAAAGGTGACAAAAAACAAATCTATAATGTACACAGTATTGACCTCACGGTTTAGATTTCTTAAAGGGACTGCAGAGCTAGCTTCCAGTGACGCTACAATGAAGGAGTGGCATGTTCGATTCGGACACAGTATTTTTTAAACCTCTTTTGCCGAGTAACAATGAGGAAGATATTGAGTGTTTAAAAGTATATGTTAATTTCCTTTCTTCACGCATATTCCTTAACCCACTTTTTTAACACGACCAGAATTGAAAAAAAAAATCTTTAGCTGAAAAAAGAAGAATATATCATTCATTCTTGATCATATGGGAAGCGTTGTGAGTCGTACATCTTACTATATAAATGGAGGGTCACTTGAAATCGTGTATATACAGTCACTGTTAATAAAAAAAGATAAGAAGTGACAAATAATTTTCTTCCTTGGCGCATATTCTTTAACCTACTTTTTGTAACACGACCAGAATTGAAAATAATAAAGTTTTAGTTGAAAAATGAATAATATAGAATTGATTCTTGATCATTGAATGGTATTTGGGTAGCGTTGTGAGTCGTACATCACGCAAATCTGCCCCTTTGGTAAAAGTAAATTCAACCTATATGAAGCATCAAGTCTGATAACTTTTTTATTTATTGTTTTACATTTCGAACACAGAATAGACAGCATAGATTTCACCACACAAAGTTGGAGTAAGGATTTAAACAATTTATTGCAACATTTGAAATCTGAAATGTCATAAAATATTCATTGTGCCTTTTTATATTCATTATTCATTTATATAATGTTTAGCTAGAGCCTGGAATTAAGCAAAACTGTAAAATAAAACATGTGTTCGGACAGGAAACTATATTTAAATCCTCTAATTCGAAAATTAATTCCAACTCTAAAATATTATGAGTCACAGAGAGATAGAAATAATATCAGGGAACTACAGGGTGTCCCAAAAAACATGGGAATTCAGTGACGAATTCGATATCGTCTTTATGAATAATTCTTTGATTTAGTATAGTGATACCTACTGAGAAAGCTGTAATCTGTAAGAGTTTCGTCTGCTATGTTTACATTTTGTTTGTTTATGTTTTGACTGCAACCGGTCGTACTTAGTAAAACAAGAAAATTACAGTATACAAACAGAGTAAACTTGCAGTCCATATTCACTGTTCATCTTGCGGAGACATTATAGACACATCTTTTCAGTCTTTTACCCTTTTCATTAAATAAACTCTAGCAGACATAATAATATTATGACTTTTGAAATTGGTATTACAATGCTAATTCATAACAAAGACGATATCCAATTCGTCACTGAATTCCCATGTTTTTTGGGACACCCTGTAGCTTATTAAATTGGAAAAAAAAAATAAACTTTATTTTGTTTAACAATTTTTGTGATACAATTCTATTCATGAAACTGTTAGGATTACATTTTTCAAAATGGTATTGGAAATAATTTTTTTGATGATTTTCCGTACAGATGTTTTTAGTTTGATACTCTCCTGATTTGTTTATACAATGAATACTCAATGCGTAGGTTAATTATATATATTTAAGTAAGTAAGTAAGTAATCATTTATTTATGAAAAATAACAAAAACATTCAAAATTAAGTGTTTAAGGAGAAAATATTTGAAAACCTCCAAAAATAGAGGTTGTAGGAATATTTTACCCCAATTCTAAAAAAATATAAAAAAATAGAAATAAAGGAAAAGGAAAGTTACATATTTATTGTTTACATTATATTCAATACTAGCTAAAGGGTCTGGCGTTGCCAACGGAAAAAAAAATTTTACAAAAAAGTTTTAAACAAATGTTGAAAAAAAAAATTTAAAAATTGTTCGATTTTTTTAGCCTATAACACCCCCCGGCCACCCATGAGTGTCCACAACAAATTTCAGCTCATTCGGTCCAGCTGTTTGGCAGAATATACGCAACATTTATGTATACGAATATCTTGTTTTATTATATAGATAAACTAGTGGTGGAGTGTAAGTATTTTTCGACGAAATAGAAATAAAAATGATAGATTTATTTGTAAAAAAAATAAAATAGGTTTCATGCGTTGTGAAAAATGTATACTCCTGACTTGTTAATACCATACAATACAATGTAGTGAATACTTTGTGTGTAGGTTAAGTATTATACTCATAACTTATTTTTAAAAAATTAATTTTTTTAGCCTCAATCAATTTCAGCCCATTCGGTCCAGCCGTTTGGCCGGCTATATGAAACATATATACGAATTTCTTGTTCTATAATACAGAATATACACATTCAATGTTTAGGTTGATCTAATGAAGTATGCTCCAGCCTGTTTACCCGAACGAGGGGTTAATTATGAAGGAAATACCGCCTGGGTTTATGGTAAATATGCATAGAAATTACCTTGTCTTTTGAACCTGTTCATAATTCTCAGAAAACTTCCCTCGTAATTACGCTTATATTTCTATAAGTCGCTTCCCTGTCCGCACTTTTAGCGCGATTTCGCGCCATGCAATAGCGGAACTGAAACAATCGTCTGAGTTTTAACTTTTGAATTTCAACATTGTCATATATGAAATATTTGTGTTAGGGAAATTATCCAGAAGTCCTTGGAAAAAGTTAATGTTGCTGAATTGATCGTTTTTTTTAAGTTGAGGAATTTACCATCTAGTAGTCTTGTATACTCTGTTTAGGTTGGGGAACTACATCAGCTGATGGTCCTGTATTCCTTATAGTAGTCCTGTATCCTCTGTTTAGGTTGGGGAACTATACTATATAGTAGTACTGTATCCTCTGTTTAGGTTGGGGAACTAAACTATATAGTAGTACTGTATCCTCTGTTTAGGTTGGGGAACTACATCAGCGGGTGGTCCTGTATTCCTTGTTTAGGTTGGGGAACTATACTATTTAGTAGTCCTGTATCATCTGTTTAGGTTGGGGAACTATACTATATAGAAGTCCTGTATCCTCTGTTTAGGTTGGGGAACTATACTATATAGAAGTCCTGTATCCTCTGTTTTGTATCCTCTGTTTAGGTTGGGGAACTATACTATATAGTAGTCCTGTATCCTCTGTTTAGGTTGGGGAACTATACTATATAGTAGTCCTGTATCCTCTGTTTAGGTTGGGGAACTATACTATATAGTAGTCCTGTATCCTCTGTTTAGGTTGGGGAACTATACTATGTAGAAGTCCTGTATCCTCTGTTTAGGTTGGGGAACTATACTATATAGTAGTCCTGTATCCTATGTTTAGGTTGGGGAACTATACTATATAGTAGTCCTGTATCCTCTGTTTAGGTTGGGGAACTGTACTATATAGTAGTCCTGTATCCTCTGTTTAGGTTGGGGAACTATACTATTTAGTAGTACTGTATCCTATGTTTAGGTTGGGGAACTACATCATCGGGTGGTCCTGTATCAAATGTGCTTCTAGAAATTAGTTTACCGATCATTACAAGGAAGGAATGCGAATCTGCTTATGGAAAAAAGGTAAGGTTATCCTCTATTTTATTGCATGGAAAAGATTACTTTTAAAAATTAATTCAAAAACCCGTTTCCTCGGTCATATTTTTAGTATATATTTGATGGACAAATCTGTGCTTATGGAGCTGAAGAAGGAAAAGATTCCTGCCAGGTCAGAGATCTAGCTTATTCTAGTTAATCTAAATAGTTGAACATTCTAATTCAACTATCATTATAATTTATTTAGAATTATTTTAATTAATCTGTGAATTATTTGATTATTAATCGTTATTTCACAATCTTACAATTATCTTGATTATTTGATAATTATTGTATTATCAGTTTTTTTCTAATTAGTGTATTTACAATTAAATAAATTAAACTTGAAAACTCTCATCCTATTATATCTACTCATTATGATTATTATGCTACAATCATTTAAATTAATCTGTGCATTATTAATCAGAACTGAAATGGTGTTGTCTTAATTTCTTTTTTTATTTATATAATTCTATCTTGCAAAACATGTGTTCTTTGTTATTTGCATCTTATATGCCTGTTTTGATCGTGCCTTCAAAACTATAGGAGATAAAAAGAAAATCTTTCAGTTTTCCACAATTTTGGTTTTTATTTCATAAATTGAAATCTAAATGAATTCTTGAGAGTAAAAAGACTAACAACTCTAATTGATCATGCAATAAATGTTGTCATAATTGTTTCAAGAATCATAATTTAAACATTGACCATAAGATTAATGCCGCAAATAGTTGTAAAGATATGAGACCATCTTTTAGTCGTCTCTCAACTGGCATGTTTCTTGGGAAACCCCTGTATCATTAGGGATGGGCAGTTTCTTGGGACACCCCCTGTATCATTAGGGATGGGCAGTTTCTTGGGACACCCCATGTATTTTTAGGGATGGGCAGTTTCTTGGGACATCCCGTGTATCTTTAGGGATGGACAGTTTCTTGGGACACCCCCTGTATCATTAGGGATGGGCAGTTTATTGGTACACCCCCTGTATCATTAGGGATGGGCAGTTTTTAATGTTCGAGAAGAGACCTGGATTGTTTTATTAAATGAAATGTAAAATTAAATGAAAACGAAACGATCGTGTTTAAAATAAAAAAACGAATTAAAGATAGTTTTAAAAATTAAAAACAAAACGATAGTTTTTCACTTGTGGAAACGATTGTTTCTGAAGAGAAAACGATCGTTTTCAAGAGAGAAAGACTAGCAAAGTTCTGCTTAAAAACTATCTTTTGCCGTTTTTTTGCTTCAAAAGCTTAAAACAAACGCATTGTTAGTTTTAACTGTTTTTTCTCTGGAACGAAGTTTAGTTAGTTTTAAAAAATCAAGCACAAACCAAAATACATAAACTTTTTAAAAATCATTTTTAAAAATGATACAGATTCCTACCTAGATCTTAATGGTAAACCTGTGTGTAGGGAGATAGTGGTGGACCAATGACTGTAGATGAGAATAATCAGCATTATCTGGCTGGTGTGGTCAGCTGGGGGATTGGTTGTGCAAAGGTATAGGAGCATTTTTTTAATGCAGTGCTACCTATAAAACTGTAGAATTGGAAGACAATTAAATTGAAATTACAATTAGATAAAAAATAATTCTCAAATGTCGTCTTTTTCCGCACTTTAATCAAATTAATTGGAAAAATAGTAATAGTACAGAGGAAATGAACAATTTCCTCATACTGTAATTTTCTAAAAGTCAGAGCACAGCAACCTAACGTAGACTTGAGTAATTTTAAATATGAAGTTTGAAATTTTTAAAATTTAAGTGATTATTAGTTTAATGGTTAAATTATTCATTATTATACAGAAAATAATAGAATTTTGAACATCACAAAGAGTTTTTTGAAAATGTTTTTAATCTTACAAGGTTACAAAGATGTATATGAATTCTAAAATTAGAATTTAAGGCGAGTGTTGAAAAAAAAATTAAATATGATACCTACTATGTAGATTAAAACGAACATTCAATATGTTTATTTCATACAGATCAATTCACTGCACATGTACTGTTAGCTATACAATGTAAATTGTACATAAACACTCAAATTTGCTGTTTACCTAGCTCCCACTCTATTCGCCTTGTGAAACTATTTTGCACTGCATTGGTGTGTATACATGTGTTATGTTTTTTTTGGGGGGGGGATTGGGCAACTTTATCATATATGCACTGTATTGTATTCAAGAAAAGGAACCCTGGAGTGTATACTGATGAACCTTACTATTTACAGTGTATTGTATTTAAGAATGGGAACCCTGAAGTGTATGCTGATGTATCTTACTATTTACTGTGCATTGTATTTAAGAAAGGGAACCCTGAAGTGTATACTGATGTATCCTACTATTTACAGTGCATTGTATTTAAGAAAGGGAACCCTGGAGTGTATACTGATGTATCCTACTATTTACAGTGTATTGTATTTAAGAAAGGGAACCCTGGAGTGTATACTGATGTATCCTACTATTTACAGTGTACTGTATTTAAGAAAGGGAACCCTGGAGTGTATGCTGATGTATCCTACTATTTACACTGTATTGTATTTAAGAAAGGGAACCCTGGAGTGTATACTGATATACCCTACTATTTACGGTGTATTGTATTTAAGAATGGGAACCCTGAAGTGTATGCTGTTGTATCCTACTATTTACAGTGTATTGTATTTAAGAAAGGGAACCCTGGAGTGTATGCTGATGTATCCTGCTATTTACACTGTATTGAATTTAAGAAAGGGAACCCTGGAGTGTATGCTGATGTATCCAACTATTTACAGTGTACTGTATTTTAGAAAGGGCACCCTGGAGTGTATGTTGATGTATCCAACTATTTACATTGTATTGTATTTAAGAAAGGGAACCCTGGAGTGTATGCTGATGTATCCTACTTCAGAGACTGGATTGATACAAATATTAAGGAGAATGGGGGAGGAAAATTTCGCCCTTAGATTATGTTTTCATGTCTTAAATATGCTTACCTCAATAATAAATAAGTTTTTATTCTGTATCTTACTTGCATGACAGAATCTTTTAACGTATATACATTGCATGTACAGTGTACAATGGTAGCGATACGGTGTACATTTAAGACAATAAATTATTTAGCAATTGAGGCTAGAAAATCGTTCATTTTTGCTTAAAGGAATTGAGTTTTTGTCACAACCCCTGATTTTCTAATCCCAATATCTTTGGTACCCAATGTCGTAAACTTTAGCTTTTTCTGTTATATCAAAAAACTAAAGTTTTAAATATCAATGCTTCAAAATACCGCGGTTGCAGAGATATAGGGATTATAATATTTGAGTTTGAGCAAAGACTCAATTCCTTTGCGATGTATTAAAAAATTAAATAGCTATCTATGATCTGATGATATGACAGTAATATTTTTTATATAGTAGCTTAAACATTTCTAAATAGAAAAGACTTTTATATAAAACTTCAGTATGTCCTTCAGTTAGCAGTGTTAATAATTAGATAAGATTTTCGGTAACATAACTACGTCAAGCTGACTACAATTAAGTGCATTCTACCTGTATCAAAAAATTTTAGTCCTATTTTGATCTTTCCGTCAAAAATATCGTCAAACACTTCGTGCACAGAAATAATTAAAATAATTTAATTGTGTAGCCTTAATAATGACACTGGGTTCTAAAGTTTTCTTAAAAGGAGTGGTCGCGAAAAATGAAAGGGGGGTATAGGCTTACGGCGAAAAATAAGCGCTTTTGATCGCTACCAATCTTACTATTAGATCATACAAAATAAAAATATTATAAAATACTAACGATAAACGAATGCGTCAAAAATTATTGATGTTTCTAGATTATAATCTGAATGATTTGTTTGGAATTTAATTGATTTTTTACGATCCGAGTTTTGTGTTGCAACTTTCTGAATTTGTATGGACTCTACGTTCTTCAGTATTAGTCGTTTTAAACAATTTTCTCCTTAGCTTATAGACAGATAAAAGTAAGATTGTTAGTAATCAATAGCGCTTTTTTTCGCCGTTATAGCCTATAATACTCCCTTTCATTTTTCGCGAACACTACCTTTGAATATGAAAATAAAATTGTGTTTTATATAAAGATATGAAAATAGTAACTAATAAAAAAATAGGATTAATTTTAAAGTGTCTAAATTTTTAAATGTTTAAATTTCTGAAAACAACGAGAAGTAAATTCCTTTATTCTCCTATAAAGATCTATCTTTATGTTTTTATTATTCTGTACATTCAAAAAGTTTACAATATCTAATAAGCATACAAATATAAAAAACATATCACAGTGTAATTAACTTTAGGTTTCTTTTCTACATTTCGCCATTTTCTGTTAAAATTATTTTATCTTGTGATCTTTTCCCATCATCTTGAGGTCTTCCTTTTAGGTCTTTAAATACATCCTGTTTCTTAGTTAATACTGATATGTTTTCGTTTAGAAAATCTTTTCTTTAGTTAAACCTTTTTTTGGTTTAAAGCTGGGATAGAATGACTATGATGTACGGATCAGGATATTCATTGAAAACTAATCCGGTACCTTCTCCTCCACCTTCTCTTCCTTCTCCTCCTTCTCCTCCACCTTCTCTTCTTTTTCCTCCTTTTCCTTCTTTTTTTCCCTCCATTTGTAGGTTCTGTGTAGAATTAAGATGAAACCTGTGATTCATGTGAGTAATTATGAAGGTTCGATTTGACTGGTGCGTGGGCTCATAACGTAGAATTTATACTTGACACTTCAAGCTGTAGCACGCCGGTCATATGATCGACAGGGTTTGACGGGTTACTACTAGCAAATACTATTTAAAGGGGTTTATTTATTATAATCTTTCATATAAAAAGTGTTCTATATGTTAGAAAATTGCAAAAACAGGCAAAATCAAATTTATTTCCCAAGTCATGTTTAATACCCTTCACACTGTATGATTAATAACTTCCATATATGGAATTATATTCCGCAGAAATGAGTTTGAGTAAACAAGTATTGAGTATGTATCATAAATATTTAAATCCCACGTTAGAGTATCTTTCATCTGAAATATGTCACGCAGTTTACTAATCTACGCATTCCTTGAATACCCGGTGTTAACAGATTGTTAATTTATTCAAACTTTTTAATAACATTCCGATGCATTACGTAGTCTTTAGGTGTACACTGTACAAAGTTATGATGTCATCAATTGTCTTCTTAAGAAGGCTTTTAATGCCAGAAGCTTGAAAAATGTGGTAAATATTGTAGGTTCAAAAAACTCAAGGCTAAAATATTTTTAACCTGTTTTATGTATGAATGATAAGACCATATTATAAAAGAAACATCAGAAATATATTTTCTGTTAATACAAAATTCGTTTGATCCTCTAAAGGGTCCTAGTCGATAACTTTTTAAGATATCAGTTTAAACAATAATCTTTGAATTCTAAGATTAAGCCCGATCCAGTAGGAAAGGCAGAAACATGATATGAAAAATAAAAGTTATATCATATTACTTTTCTTTTTCTGCCACCAGCTAGTAATATATGCTGCCATATATATTATTAAGATAAGAAGAAAGGGTTAAAGTTTAAAAAGAAGAGAACTAGAACAAATAATAAGTATCTCTGGGAGGAGAATACAAAAAGAGTCCGGGTCAAGTTTATAGTAAACAGAACTCAAAACTAGTCAATTCTTGGCAAGTCTTGTCCAAAGATAAATTTAAAAAAAATAATATTATAATAGAAATTATTAACTTTTAAATGAACCTATTGAGACCAAATATTTTGTGGGACCTCGCGTGACCCCAGGGAAGGTTTATGGATGATCGAATTTTCAAAATTTGACTCCAACAAAATTCGATTTTCATTAAACTAGAAAATCCACGAAATTTTTATTTTTTATTTTACAATGTTTGCAAAGAGAACATGGTTCACAATTGAAATATAAGATGGGCGTGACGCGCCTTAAAACCCTATTTCTTCTAATATTTCTACATAATTCTCAACTCTTAGTGCAAAGTTGTGGACAGATAAAATGTTTTTGATAATATTTCATTAAAAAAAAAATAATTAAATACGTTAACTTGCAATTATATGAACTAGTTGCACGTTTATTAGAATATTTGGATCAAATTAATACTCGATATAATAGATTTTCGATATGCCGGGATAATGATTTTTGTTCTCAATAATCAGGGAACAATAATTTTATTTTTAGTGTTTAGGCATCTACGCTCCCATACACTTTTTATTTAATCACTCGACTCCCAGAAGTTTTTTAAACGTTTTAAGCAGATTTTTATAATAATTTTTCCCGCTAAATTGCGCTATAATGTACACAGAGAAGCAATTTTAGTTTTGGTAACTGCGTGGAAAAGCGTATAAGTTATACAGAAAAAAATGAATACTACATTTCAGTTCTACAATCGAAATGAAAATTATTTTTTATTTACAATTAGTAAATAAACTGTAATCAAAAAAATTTCTTTTAAAAATATTATTGTTTATTGCAATAATGTGTATTGTTGCAGAATCAATGATAAAGCATTGAAGCAAGTTCTCTTTTCAGAATGTTTAAAACAAGTAATTATAATGTTATTGATTTAGCTGTATAAATGTGAAGTATAGTAAATAGTATATAGAACTTTGAGTTTATCAAATTGCTGAACTAAAACTTTTTCTAAATATCACAATGTCATTGAATTTTCAAATGACCGCTCAATCAAGGAGCATACCTGATTCACAACTGTACCATTTACACATTATTATAACCAACAGTGAGGGAAGATATCGTCGTTTCTATCTTTGAAAGTGATGAATTCAGTAAATTTAAAGAAAACAAGAATATCTTCTTCAGTACTGTTAATCTTTAATCTTTGAAAAAAAAACTGTAATTACTATTTATTTGTTTACTTAAGTACATAATACGGTTAATAAAAATTGAACAATATAAATTTTCATTTTGATTTTTTTAGCAAAGAGTCTGAAAAATCTAATTGATAAAAAGTTTATTTTGAAAAGTTATATTAGTTTTTCTTAAATCTTCAAAAGAGTAATTAAAGTTTTGAGATCCTGTCGTTTAGAATCTGTACTTTTAAAGTTGCTTGAAATATAGCTCTAGTATTTTTCTTTGTCATTCGTAATTGTGATGTAATATAATGTGGCATTGTAATTCGTAATACTGATGCAGAATTTTGATTCAGAATGAGAATGCAGAATTAGAATGCAGATTTGTGATGCAGAACTGTGATGTAGAATTGCGGAAAACAAAAAAACCTTCAGAAAAGTTTTTCAAAGTTTAAACTTTGTTTCTTTGTTCTTTCTCTTTCAAACATTTTTCTGGACTTGTTTTCAGAATGGAATTATAAAGTTTAATGAAGGCATGAAGCATGATGAGAGAAAAAGGATAAATCTTCAAAAATTATAAATGCTTACTGGACAAATCCAAAAACTGGAAATAGGTCTGGTGTAGATAAAATAGAGAGAGTTTGCCAGAAAATTCTTTTCGAGTTTTCGCAAACAAAACGATGGGGGGGGGGTGGTAATCTTACCCCCCCCCCCATCCTCAATCGTAATACGGTTGAAAACTAAAAATGTTTCCATCTTAAGTGCAATTTACATTTGTTTGGCATTGACGTCTCAGGTTAAACTGTCGAGTGGAAAATGAATGGTCCGAGGCAGAATTTAAAGAATTTGAACCGCGTCGCTGAACCGCCAATAACCAGTTCCAATTGAGCGCCGGCTCAAATCTCAAACAGTCAAATTTAGTATCTTTAATTGAGGGATCAAGCCTTTAATTCACGAATTTTAAAGTTCTCACATCGGATGTCCAGTCGAGAACGATATTTTA